TCTAAATGAGGTAATTAATTTTCAAAATTTATTTTTAAAAAAATATTTATATAAATATACTAATTTGAACTATGAAATTTTAGTTAAAATCACTTTATCAATGTTATGATAGTAAATTTGAATGTATTATTAAATGTCATGGTATCACAAAAGATCCTATAACAAAAGAACTTATGTTTATAATGAAATATGCAAATGGAGGGGATTTGCATAATTATTTACAAGAGAATTTTGCAGAGATTACATGGAAGAAAAAATTGCACATTTTGTGGCGAATTTCAGATGGGTATTTATAACTTAATTTAATTAATAATGATTTTGAAATTATTTAAATAAAATTTTATTAATAATCAATTTTTTATTTTAGACTTCAAACTATTCATGAAAAAGATTTCGTACATCGAGATTTTCATAGTGGAAATATATTGATTGAAATAATTGAAAATGATTCATGTAAAATATATCAATATCTAATTGGAGATTTAGGATTATCACAGCCTGCAAATGACATTCCACATGATAGCAGTATATATGGAGTGATACCTTATATTGCACCAGAAATATTTAAAGGCGTCAAATTTTCTAAATCATCTGATATTTATTGTATGGGCATGATTATGTGGGAATTAACAACTGGTTGTAAACCTTTTGCTAATGTTGAACATGATATTGATTTAATTTATAAAATTATTGATGGAAAACGTCCTAATATTACTGACGACACTCCAGAAGATTTTGCTAATTTAATGAAAAAATGTTGGAATCCTGATCCTAAAAAGAGACCTTTGGCAACGGATGTTTGTGACATTTTTAATTCTTGGTCAAATATGGGAATGGATGCCAAATATTTTAATCAAGCTGAAGAAATAAGATTAGAATTAATAAAATCAAAAATGCTTGGACCAACTTTTAATGAAAAACCTCATCCAAAAGCAATTTATACAAGCAGATCATTAAGCTCTTTAACTGGTTCACCTTCAATTATAACGTTTAATACGAAACCAAGTATGTAAACTGATTATTTTTTCTATAAATTTGGACAATATTACAACATTTTAACATTTAATAATTATTCTCATCTTAGATAATAAACTTATTGAAGAATCAATCAACAAGAAAGGTATTAAGTTGTTTTTTGTAATCAATATGTAAAGGAATTTATTAATTACTTGATTCTTTTTCTTTAGAATATATTACAAAAGAATATGAGTTTGATATAAACGAAATTTAAAGGTACAAATTAAAAGTTTTCTATTATTGTTTTTAATAAATGTTTTGGCCAATTCAGTGTCAAAATAAGATTTCAGAAGTAATCCAATAAATCCAAGGAAACAAGATGCAACTGAAGATTTTACTAAATAAATTTTTTATCATTTTTATTCTATTTATTTTATTTTATTTCTTTTTTTAAAAAAAAGAAATGCATATTAAAGTTAATAACAATGTTAACACAGAATCTTATGAATAGAAACTTCTGTGATATCAGGAATTTAGAAATGTGACTTCGAATAGCAATTGTTTAGAAACTTTGTGTTACACGATTTTAAATTCTATTCATTACCTGTATTTGTCAAAATTAGTTGATAAACCACCAGAATTAAAGGATAAATTTTGTTTAGGAATATAAAACATTTTGACCATTAGACAGAGAGATCGAAAAAGCCATGAAATTGAAGAACATATCGTAAATGTTTAAGTTAAAAGTAAATATAAATTTATTAATAAAACAACACGTAATTCTCATTACCATGTATTTTACACGTATGAATATTACTCTGAATACAATAAATTAACGTATAAATATTACATTTTGACGATATTATTGGATGAACATAAAAGTCATTAAGGTTAGATTATTTTATAAATAATTATCTTGACAGTAGATTTGATTTAAACCAATCAAACCAGTCGCTGACAAACGTTTAAATAAAATTTTACAGAAATTGAAGAATACCCGGTAAGCAAAAACAAACAAAGTAATTTTTAGTGAGTTAATAAAAAATTAATAAATAATAAATCATAATAAAATAAATAAATTATTCTAGGTCGGTAGGTAGTAAGTGCGTGACATTATAATGTAGTTTATTAAAATACCTTTTAATAAAAACATCTATTATTGAAACCGAAAACAAATAATTTCTGTCGTTTATAATAACTAATAATATTATTAAATAAATTTTTTTTACAAAACTCATCCCTTTTAACAAATTTGTACTTTTTAAGTAAAAAAGATCATTTAATTCTAGAAGGTTCACGTTTGATAAGCCTTGTTGGCTTGTTCATTCATCATGGCTGAGATGTAATCGATCAGGTGAAGTTAGCTTCTTTTGGATATCATCGATATCATCACTCCGAAACTTACTTTACTTTACGTCCCTATTAATATAAGCGTTGTACAGAGAAAAAATCGAAATTATGAAAAGGCATGGGTTGAGATTAATTATTATTATAATATAGTAATATATTTGTTAATTGGTCAAAAAACTATCCCATATTTTATTATAAGTTTTCTTACAGGGTATACTTCCTAATTATGGAATCTTATAAAAGGAATATATTATTATTTAAGGATCAGCATTCGAGCGAGCGAGTTACCATTTAATAAATTTTTTTCAAACACGTACAGTCGTACAGACTACAGACCAAAAGTTTTTGCAAAACTTAATGTTTAAATATATTTCATTGTACAATATATTATTGAAGTACCAAGAACAAATTATATTCAAAGCTTGTATGAGATATCAATTCACAATCGTTTTCTATCCAATTTTTCTTTTTTTAAATAAAGAATAAGATTTTTATGTTATCTGAAAGGTTATAATTTTCTAAGAAGTATTCCTCCATAAATACAGTAAACAACAATTAATAAGTGTTTGTAAGACAAAATGAAACATGTTTTTTTTATTTATAATTTAGTTCTTTCATACAATTATAATTTTGAGTAAAATATTTGGTGATTTTATATTTATAAAAGTTTGATGATTTTTCTTTTACATTTCTGACGCAGTATTATCACCAGTATGATATTATCACAGGTTTTATTTAAATCTATAATTTCTTATTAATTCTTTTTCCTTATTAATTTTAATTTAATTCACATAAACAAAATTAAATTTGTGATTATTAAACAAGACAAGGAAACGAGAACTGACCGTTGTAAGTCCGGAGCGAAAAACTAAAATTTGCGATTTCATTGGGTGACGATCACGTGGCGGACAGAGAATTCACGTGATCTTTTTTTTTTCATAGTGCGTAAACATACTGTATATTGTCCTTCGCTTCGCTTCGGACAATTGATAATCCTTGAAATTTAACAATGGTATAATAACTGATAAAAGAAAATAAATAAATTTAAATGAATTCTTTATTGTCTGTTTATTTACATTTAAATGAGATTCTGGTAGTTTGCCTCAATATCGTAACTTGAAAATGAAATAAAAATTTATATAAAAATTGGAGGACGGTTAATAATATGCATTCAGATACATTAATATCATAATAAATGTATTTGTTTTTATAAATTATATCTGATATTTATTAACAATTTCTGTAAAATTTTATTAAGACTTTTTTTTCTTATTTATGACTTAAGAACTTAATAATAATTTAGTAGAAAATCAAAATGTCGAAATGATTATTACCTTATTAGGATGTAAAAATTATCAACTCAACTTGTATCATGGTCAGTAAATTACTTGCAACAGCAGGGTTTACTTCCCAAAGCAGATAATCAAAGTTGATGAAATAACACGTTTTAGTTTATTAAGAAAGTTTTTTTATCGTTACTTGATTATCATAAGAATTTTTTGAGTTCGACAAAAAAAAAAAAAAAAATTAAAAATTAAAATAAAAATTTATTTAAACAAATTTTTAATTTCTGGGTCAAATTGATCGTCAATAAACACACAAATTTCAGATTGGTAGTACAGGTTTACTTCATTGACGGAGAATTAAACTACGAAATTTCTGCATGATTTTCAACATGCATAATTATAGAATTTCTATATAGAATATTATTGATTCTTTAAAGAAAGTTCCGTAGAATTTCACTTTGTTATTGTATCCCCATAAAATATATAATATTGCTTTATAACTTTTACATTTAACTTTTGTAAACTATTTTCTTGAAATACAACATTATGAACACAGATAATGATCCATTTGATCCTACGCCAAATTTAAAATCTAGTCCTGTACCTGTTTTATTTATTCCATTTAAAAATAATGAGGATAAATGTAATTGTTGTGGAACTGAATACTCCAAGTCACTTAAGTATGACCAAAAATATTGCAAAGTTTGTTTATTTTGGCATATTCAATATATAACAGGCAATAATACATACTTGGACGTACTTATAAGTACAAATAATTCTCAGTGTATTAAACATAAAGCAACTAGAAATGATTTTTATACAACAAATATTCAAGAATGGTGTGAATATTGCTCTGAGATTTTATACTTTACACAAGTAGTAGCAAGAAATACAAATTGTCGGCACACTAATTATATATGCTGTAAACGGTGTTATTACGAGAGTCAGCTACCAGATTATCAGATTTCTTCCGGATGGGTAAAATCAACTTTGAATAAAAAGTCCATTCCGATTCTATATTTACCATGGTGGGATAGTTATAACCATTGTATAGTTTGTTATAAAGAACTAAAATATATACACCAAGAGTCAAAATCTTATTGTCAAAAATGGTGTTTACATTGCCATATAATTTATACTGGATGTAGGTATTGTTTAACAACAAATATTATTTTTGGAATTGTTGATCAATCTCAATGTAAGAAATGCAAAAGAATTTTATTCATTAAAATTGATATTACAAATATTAGAAGTGGAAATTACATTATAGAAGAATTTCTTGTTTCTACAAGAATCCAAAATCATAATTTTCATTCGATTGCTAATTATATGTACAACATGACAACTTACAATCCAACTACAGTGTATTTGTATATTAGCGATAAACTTCGTTCACCAGCCAGAAAAATAGAGTGGATTCCATATTCTCACATTACGAATTTAAAGAAAATGGCGGAAGGAGGATTCAGTATTATTTATAAAGCGACTTGGGAAGGAACTGATGTTGCTGTAAAAAAATTACATGATTCACAAAATATCAGTAAATACTTTTTAAATGAGGTAATATTTACATTTTATATACTTGCAATGTGTTTTTAATACACACACATATATATATATAATTGATTTATTTATACTTTAGTTAAGATCACTTTATCAATGTAATGATGACAATTTTGGTGTTATTGGCTATTATGGCATTACACAAGATCCTATAACAAAAGAATATATGATAATATTGAATTATGCAAAAGGTGGAAATTTGCATAATTATTTGCAAAAGAACTTTATAAATATTACATGGAACAATAAATTGCTTATTTTACAAAGAATATCATTTGGGTATTTATTGTATATTTATAATTATTACCTATATTTATAGTAAATTTATTAACTACTAAATTTTGTATTTAGACTCTATAGTATTCATTATAAGAATTTTATACATCGAGATTTTCATAGTGGAAATATGTTATTGTCTACATATTGGAAAGTTGGAGACTTAGGATTATCGCAACCTGCAAATAATACATTATCAAATAATGAAATATATGGAGTAATACCTTATATTGCACCAGAAATATTTAAAGGTGCTGCATTTTCAAAAGAATCTGATGTATATAGTTTTGGTATGATTATGTGGGAACTCACAACAGGTTGTAAACCTTTTGCTAATGTTGAACATGATCATAATCTCATCTTTAAAATTCTTGATGGAGAACGACCTAAAATTACAGAAGATACTCCTGAATGTTATGCCGATTTAATGAAAAAATGTTGGGATTCCAATCCTTCAAAAAGACCAATTATTAATGAAATCTACAACACTCTTTATACTGCGATTTGGTATCAATTTGAACAAGCTGAAAAAAAAAGATTGGAATTAATACAATTAAAGAAACTTGGACCAGAATTTAGTGAAAAGCCTCATCCAAAAGCAATTTATACAAGTAGAGCATTAAGTGATTTGATTTCTAAAGCTTCAACTATAGGTTCAATGGTTTCATTGCATATGAAACAAGGTATGTTATAGTGTATTATAATTTACCACCAACGAAAAAACTTGAAACGTTAATTAGACGGTCAGATGATAATAATTGAATTTGCTTCTTTAAATTTATATTTAACATAGATAACTTTTATTAATTTTTTAGAATATATTACACAAGAATATGAATTTGATATAGATAATATTCAAAGGTAATTAATTAATATATAAATACATATAACTTGTTAATAATATAAAATAAATAATTATATCGTATATTTTTTAGATTATCCATACAAAATACAAATTCCGCCACTCAAAGTTTAATTGTACCTGTAAATTCTTCAAGAAAGCGTAATTTTGAAGAATTAAAGAACGAAACGAATGAAAATCAAAAAAATAGTAAGTAAAATATTTTATTTACGCACAAAATAAATAGTGTCTATAATATTTCACTTCAACAATTTTATAATATTTTTCTTTTAACTAAAATAGGAAAATATATTAAAGTTGATAATTTAAATGATGAATTGTTGAACATAATTGAGCTTATTTAATTTGTATTTGTCACGAAAAAAATTTATATAGATTAATTTCACAATTTTCACAAGATAAAATATTTATAGCACATTTGCATATGAAGAATAGATAACTTCATTGGCATTTGGCAATTCGAACAATAATCAATAATTTTATGATATTTTCTTTAATTTGAGTACAATTATGACTTCATGTATACAAAATAAATAAATGGGGTATAATCATATTAAAATAAACCAGTTATTAAAGCTTTCAAATTTTTGAGATCACAATTACCATATAACCAGTTTAAACCCGATTTTTGAGATCATACCATAACCGATTAATACTGAACTGGCATGATTTTGATTCAGTCATGGGCTTTGATTATTTAGACTCCTAAAGTAAATGATGAACCAATTGAACCATGTATATTTTTCTATAATTAAATATGCGAGTAAAGCAAATTGGAAGCAATATTTTAATATTATACCTTTGCTCATCCACTTTCTTTAACAAATTAAACTCAAGATAATTGAAAGTTAGGTTTAATTTAAATAATAATTTGGTATTAATATAGAAATACTAACCTGATAAGAACATTTTAATTATTTTATTCATTGAGTTCTTTATATTGGTGAGAAAGAAGAAATGTACCGAAACATAAACTTTTTAAGGCTAAATTAAATTATTTTTAATTTACCATTTTCCAAGTCATAAATTATTTAGAGAATTAATAAATCAACGCTTGATTCTTTTTTGAAAGACTTTATTTCAATATCTTGATTAAAAAGAATTATGACGTCATTAAAATATAATGAAATTATGCCAATAATCTCTTAGCGTGATTATGGATATGTACCAATTTAATTAATTCATCCAGAATGATTTTAATTTACTCTTCAAATCATTTGATACTTACGTATACTTATATGAATGAAATTCCTGGTATAATGTTATTTTTATGCTCACACCTATCTTGTTTATAAACTTAAGTTTTGATTTTATTGAAACCACGATTTATTGGATTTGGAGTACGATAAGGATAAAATCTGATACAAAAATGGGTTGAAATAAATGTTATTTTTGAAATTACAAATCAATTCAATATAAGAAAAGTAATAAAAAGAATATCATTTATTAATTTTGATATTAAAATTATAAAATATTAACAGCTAGCATTAATATAGATGTTTCTACAAGTATAATAAATAATAGCCACTATCTATGTGAAAAATAGTAAGTATTTAGTTAGGCTCATTGAGTATATATCAAAACTAGTACTTTCTTTCTATGTATTCAAGAAAAAAAAGTAATGAAATGGATTCAAAATTCTCAAATTAAAAATTTTAAATAAAATTGCAGGATTTAATATTGATTAAGCAGCTTAGTCAGATGGCACACGTGATACTGATATTGTTATGTACAAAAAAATTATTTAATTCATAAAGTATTCTTTAACTGAGGTAAGGAAATAAATATTTAACGCTAATTTACAGTATTTTATTTATTGACATCGTCCTTTAATTAATAAAGCAAAATTATAAAAACTATTCCGGAAATGATTGGATAACGATACTATCATACTATCACGTGTGTAAAATATCATAACGTAAAATGTATATCAAGCGAAATTATTCTCAACTAAAAGCATAATATTTTGTTAAAAATAAGTTTAAATTAGCTAAATTAACCCAAAGATAAGATTTTCTGGTAATTTTTATCTTTAAGGGGAAAAAATTTTAGTCGATCATCCCATTTTGACCAGATTTTCGCCAAAATTTTCCCATTCCATTTTTAAAAATCACCACTTGCACAGTTGCCGTGGATACGAAAAAAATTGCCTTTTTGGTAAAAAAGTCTCCAGTTAATCTTTATATTATTATGTACTTGTACATGTACATGAACATGAACATGAACATGAACATG